ATGATCGTGCGCGTAGGTACGTACCGAAAAAAAATTATTTACAAACACGCAGGTACAATATGTAATACGGATCGATGTTGTCCGCATCGCTTGAATATTTCATAAACAAAAGCCACGAAAAAAAAAAAAAAAAAAAAAAACAAGAATAAGAAAGCCGGAGAAACATTTTTCGGGGACAATCTCGTCGTTGTGGATATACGCATGTACTCTGCAGTCGCGATTAGAGAGCTCGCCCACATGGGAAATACCGCATCGGCGTTTCAGCGCCCGCCTCGCCGACTTACCGCCGAAGGAACGAGCGAAAATTAAATAAAACGAGACTCACGTCGCCGCGCTGATTTAAAAATGCATCCCTCACCCGTGTTTTTTCGAAATTCAAATCCCCGTTGCGGTGTGTGCGCGCAGTGCCAGAAAAAGCGACACACAAAGGAAAAGATGAGAGAGGGGGAGAGAGAAAAAAAAAAATTCCTCCTCGTGCTCCACTCGAGCGCTTATACATTTTTATGAAGGAATCAAGATGGTAATGGAGTCCGGGGCGACGATCGACTTTGTATGTACAGTCCTCCGATTAGAGGCGAATATATGCGCGCTCCCGTTGCATAATAAAGACCTTTGCCGCAGAGCCTTCCCTTTTCCTGTACTCCCTTTTCGTCCGTCGGGGCAAAATCGAGCTATCGCCAATGACGAGGCCCGAAGGTGTTAATTTTTCATTCGAGTACCCCTTTATTTTCTTTCCCCCTCCCCCTCCACCCTGATTTTTAGCTGTATCGGAGGCGCAGGAGCCTCGAATCGGCAACATCCGCAAATGAAGCTCCGCTGCGAGGGCATCAGCTTCGAAAACTTTTTCCCGGAAAAGAGGGAAAAAAGTACCTAAAAGCTGTGGGGAAAAAAAAAAGAAGCAAGTTATTGCGGATACCTCGTTTTTCCGGATTGCGGGGGTGGGGTGGGGGGGGGTGGAGAGGCCGAAACTAAATGATGGGAAAAAGAAAGTTTCAGTGCTCGCTCCAATCGGGCCATTTTTAACGAAGTTACACGCAGCTTCGAAAGTTGCTTCCGGAGGGTGGGCGCAAACTTTGCCAACGAGCTCTCCGTATATACACACGGCGAATGAGGAGGGAGCATCGTGAAATCATTAGGCGCAAACGGGCACGCAAGCGCGAATTCGATCGGGGGGGGGGGGGTTATCGCTATAATATCGAGCAATTATTGCATCAACCGGTCGATCTCGCGTCTCTCCCTACGTATACACGCGCGCGCATAGAGTTAATTAACTTTGAGCTATTGTTTGTTTATCGGGGTTAGACTCGGATGGCCGAACTACTAACGATATCTCGCGTCAACTGCGCGTGCCGATATACGTGTTAATGACGACTCGTGCGGCAGTTAACAACCACGTCACTACAGTCAATCAGCTGCATATGATTTCAGGACACTCTGAGTTAATCTGGAATCATCGTTTTAGAAATTATAATTAGCTTGTAATTAACCAATGTAAAGTTATTAGTTTTCCCAGTCACGAGATCCCCGTGAATTGATATATGAGGCTGTTTGTTGACAACTATAATAATAATAAAAATTGTTGGAACTCCAGTAGAATATTTGTAAAAAGTCGCTCAAACATGAAAAATGTGTTTACTAGTATTTCAAGAAATATTTACGTGCAATAAGAATGTCTAAAAATAAGATTTTCTGACAAAATTGATATATTGCATAACAAATGTACTGGAAGTTAAATCTATGGCGTGAAAGTAACGTACTTTCCTGCGTACAAAGTAAAAATGACCGTTTAACGTGCACGGTAAAATTGGATGTCCTTTCTTTTCCAAGTGAAACGGTAATTTCTCCAATACTTGGATTATATCTCTCACCCAGCCAAATTATCCCGAAGCGACAAATCCAACGAAACAAATACTCCATCCCTTTCGGAGAGCTCGCGAAAATCAGCAGAAACCAAATACCAGGATACTTCTTACAGTTAGCTGGTATTTCGCAATTCCCCACTCGGTGAAACGCGAAGTACGAAAACAAAGGCTGTGGGCGCATTTTTCCCCCGCAGCGTCCCATCGCCCTCGATTGCTTTCGGAATCGATTTCGCACAGTGGAAATGCTAGAAAACGAAAATAGAACGCAACACTTGAAATTCCTCGCGATCTTACGCGCGCTGTTTTACATTTCCACCCCTGCTTCCTCCTCTTGAACTTTGCACCCTTTTTTTTATACCAATGCACCTTAAAGTCGTGTGTTGGACACCCAGCGGGTCGTTTGTGCCGTGTAAGTGCACCTACGGTATGGGTTTGTGGATTTTCAAGTGAACAACGGCAAAGGGTGGGGGCGGATGTGTGCGGCTGCAGGACGGTAGCCGAGCGGGAGAACTTCCATTGAATTTTTATTAGATTTCGACGAAAAGTGGAACACGTTACGCTCGCCTGCCCGTTTCCTCCGCAAAGCCCCGGCAGAACTACCCCCCCCCCCCC